TATTATTATTATTATTATTATTATTATTATTTAATTATTAGTATTCACATTTTATTAATTATATTAATTATATTATTCTTATCATTTAAATATTATTTTACCAAAACAGTAAGGATGGGAAAGTTTACATCTAATGACAGTATATTTGGCCACATAACTTCTGACTTTATTGTTATTCTCGTCATTTTCATACTTCTTCCTTCATCTCGCAGCCTCTGAGGACGAGTCTAATAGAACGATGGAAAAGGATGTTGACACTCTTGAACCGCGTGACGCAGACTCGACCACTTTCAGCAGACCTTTGCCAGCTGGTCAGCGATTAGGTGCTTCCCGGTCTGTTGAAGCGCCTCCACTTCGCGGCCAAGCAGTGCACTCTTCCGCCTTGAAGGGAAAAGAAGAAGAGGAGGAGGAGGAAGCGGAAGAAGATGAAGAGGAGGAAGAAGATTATGAAGAAGAAGACGAAGAAGAAGAAAAGAAAGAGGACGAGGAAGAGGACGAAGAAGAGGAGAAAGACGAAGAAGAAATGGATAATAAGGAGACCGAGGAAAGAGTGGAGAGTGAGAATGCTGGTATTGCGACGTTCGTAGTTGGAAGGGTTGGAGAAAGAGCTTCAGGAATCAGCGCATCTGGGGTCAGAACCGAAACAGAGGAACTCATGAAGCTAGGCCGCTCCGACCCTCTTATGCCTTCGACCGAGCTAGATCTTCAGCTCCCGATGTCTGACGCAAAGGAGGAAAAGGCGTCGACAGATCCACCATCAGCCATTTCAGCAATTCAGATGGCACATCTGCCGCTTCCCTCCACCAGACTCGACCGGAAACGACTTCGTATGTAGTCCAGATATACCATTTTTCAGTTGATAGTACCTACTGGCTCTGATCGAAGGAGCTGTTAATCATAATTTATTCCGGTGTTGGTTAACTATTTATTCAATTACGATGTCTAAATAGCTACTTATGCTATAATCAGTAGTTAGTAAATCTCATATTTCATTGGTTAAATGCAGTTGTGATTCTACACCAATACGATGATGCACTTTTCGGCATGACTGATTTGTTGGTACGAAGCATAACTGGGTTTCTATTAATCACCTGGGATAACATTGTTGTGGGGACCTTCATTTCGGATGAAAGTGCATGAAAAAGAGCTTCGTAGGTTGACCTCACCAGAAGACGACGGCTTATTCACGTTGTATTGCAACCGTTTGGCTTTGATACGACTTTCAGGTTGTCGCAGTCCACGAGACCTCCTCCCTCGTTTCGG